TTTCTCCTTTCAATTGTACTATAGCTGCTTGGTTATCGACAAAAAGTAACCAGTTATGGATTCTTTGAATGCCAACTTCATCCAACACATTGAAAAGTCCATGTAATTTGTTTGTTACGACCGATGCCGCTATGAATTCAGACTCGGCCGTTAATTGCGACACTGATGCCTGTTTTCGACATATCCATCCGACATTATACCCTGCTACAAATATCACTCCTCCAATCATGGATTTGCGGTCCTCAGAGTCCGCAGCGAAGTCTGCATCGCAGTAACCGGTGATAAAACCATCAGGTAAGCCTTTAGTTCGCTCTTGATTTCTCATCTTTAACTTCAAACATTTTGTTCCCTTTGAATATCGTAGAATTCTTTTACCAGGTTGTAAGTCTTGTTCCTTCAGATCATGGGTTCTTCTCGTAATCTTATGAACGGCAAATGACAAGTCTGGACGCGTGCAACGCGAAATCCACAACAAACTTCCCGCTATTGACCTGAGAATCTTTGGATCGTGCAGTTTAGGGCTGGATTTGTCATATAAATGTCCAGAATCAATGGGAATTCTTGTAATTTTTGCGTCATTCATTTCATATTGGTTAAAAAGGTCATCAATAACGTTTTCTTGACCAATAAATGATGATTCTCATTTCAAAGAACTTGTTCACTCTCCCAAGTCCATGATTTGTAAGCTTTTCAGTGAATCAAGCAGCTCGTTCACTAAGTCGTAATTAGTCCCAGTGACCGATAAATCATCCACGTATGTTCCAACGAGTAATACTCCACGATCATCCTTCTTATAGAACAAGCATGGTTCAACAATCGATTGCTTCAATCCCAAATCGATCAATTTTGTACTAAGTAACCGATTCCATAAACTACCGGCTTGTTTCAAGCCGTAAAGGCTTTAAAGTAGTAACAATACAATTTCATTTACAGAAATCACCAACTTCTTCAATACTTGATCCCGTATCTTCATCCCTTGTGGGATCTTAATATAAATGGGGAATTCCACTTCAGCGAATGCTTTGACGTAAGCATTAGGAACATCTCCGTATCTAGCTGGTACCTTCCAGTGTTGCGCCATTGCCAATAC